GTTGTTTAGATAGGTTTTCTATACCTTATCTTTCCGCAAACAATCTTGTAAAATCTGTATTTGATCTTCTCTATCAATATATATTTTAAATTTGAAAACTCTGTGTTTGTATTCATCCCCCCCCCCTTCTACAAACTGTTTCTTATCTTGTAGACCCTTTTGGGACCAACAATAAGCTTACTGATTGTTGTAGGCAATAGCTAATTATGGTCGGCCAAAAACTAAGAACTAAAATTTAAATTGATTCATCATAGATAGAGAAATTATTATTGTCTTAGTTTTGACGATAAAAAAACTTAGTTTTGTATACTGATGATTATGATGTATAAGCACCAAAAATGATGATGTACGTGTACCATTTGTTATCTTCAACACACACCTTGACTTTAAAAATATAACAGTGAATGGACCAACCATACGATATGTAAAAAATTGCATACCAAACTTAAAGACTTCAAATCTTTATGATCCAATAGATAAATTATAATGCAATCAAAATCACAACACGAACATACATAAAATTATCATACGCCTAAACTTAAGATAGGAACATACTTAAAAATATAATTCAATCAAAATCATGATACAAACATACATAACATTCTAATACACTCTAAATTTCAAAACTAACTTACATAAAATATTTACCTTATATCATAATCATAAATTCTCATAACCCAAACTATAAATCTTCAAATTTTCAAGACTTAATGTATAAAAGTTAARGAACTCGAAAACCTGCAAATAAAAAAACTTTCAACATAAGTAAAAATTACATAGTGAACTTGAACACTTCAAATCTTCACCTAATAMATAAGAGTTATAATGCAAACAAAATCAYGATAYRAACATAAAGAAAATTATAATGCTATCAAAATCATGAAACAAATCAATATAAAATTATTACCTYATATTGCAACCAAAAATTCAAATATTGAACTTGAAGACTTCTTCAAATCTTCATGACATAATGCATATAAACTATAATACAATCTAAATAACGATACAAACAGAAATGAAATTATGGGAGAAGTGAAAAAACAAAAAAAAAATAAAGATCATCAATAGTAAAATAGAAGAAAAACCAAAGATAAAGAAAATAATTTAGAGATGTATATGATAGAGATAGAATTTGAGAGATGAAGATGAACAAAAAGTTGTTATTTATATATATATAAGTAAATGATGATTGATTCAAAAAAATGAATGGTTTGGAGTTATATCATTTGAATTAATGTAGAAGGAGATGAATGGTTTGGAGTTGAATGCAAACATTTAACCAAAAAACATAAATTGACAAAAAAAAATATAGTAGTGGATATTGAGAGAATGAATGAGAAAAAAATGAGGTTCTAGGCTTTAGGAGAGGCCACCCCAAATACTCATGGTTTCTTCTTTAATATATATATATATATATATATATATATATATATATATTGATTATATAGATATACATATATTGATCCTCTCTCTCAGTGATTTGATGATAATCCCTTTTATTTTTCACGTTGTATTTGTGTTTCTGTATTTTCAGTTCCAGCGATCTTCACTGAGTATATTCAGTTATCGCTGAACAACTTGCATTGTAAATCTATCAGAAACAGCAATACTTCAAGAAGACAACACTCACACCAAAAAACCTTCAGTAAACGTCGAAGACTGAAACTGAAGATTAGGGACCGGCGAGTACGTGATCTGAGGCGGTATTCAGTGATTACAAGTCTGTCTATACATGTGTAAAGACGGCTCTAGCTTCAGCGAATGATGATGAGACCTCCAGGTCATTCCAACATTCAGTGATTAAAGGAAGTTTGCTTAGCACGATTGTTGTTGTCTTGTCCTTATGCACACAAAGGACAAACTCATACCAAAATAACTCAATCCAACCCCAACGCGAAATAACTTAGCCCGAAACAATCCGATGTCTAATCGAATTGTAAAATTTTCAAACTGTAAGTATTGGGTTGATATTGGGTTAATATGATTGTTGAATTTATATTAATATATATACATTAAACAATTACACTATCATGTATGATCTTCATATACATACATATATTTTCAATCTATGCATATATCTATATAACTCATTCGTATATATGTTCATTAACTGTGAACATATATATGTAAATTGAGAAAAATTAACTGAATGTGATATATATAAGAAATATGAATAAGTTGTATCAAATGGTTGATGATGAAAAATAAATTATGAGTAGAGAAATAGTATATTCAAGGTTAGAATAATATTTTAATGTACTAAAGTATCAACCGGACCAACCCGTATGGTTTGGGTTGGGTTGAGTTACAAACCGCAAACATTGGGTTGGGTTGGGTTGGGTTGTTCAAATGCCTTCAATCCGATAAACTTGGGTTTATAAGAATCCTAATAAAGTCTTTTACGRTACTTAAGTATATAGGTGTAGACAGATATGTCTTATGCAAGAACATTGCAATAGATTTATACGAGGCTTTAAAATATTTTTAAAAATAAATGTCCTATTAGTTTTTTTTTTATATGATACTTTTGAGGCAAGTCCTATAAACACATGGTTTTGTAAAACGTTTGAGTTTACATGACACTTTTTTCTAATAATGTCATGCATATATATGTTGCTTTATTTATTTAAGATATCGAAAAATCAATGTTGTATAAACTTATCGTATCGCTCTTACACAAAACCACATATATGGTTGGTCCTATAAACTCATGTCGTTTAAAGTAGTCTATTATCTAAGAAACATGTTATGGGTTGGTTTGAAAAGAAAGAATGTGAGGAAAAAGTCCCAATCATATATTCTCCAAAGCAAACTGTAACCCAAAGAAAAACAAGAATCCCAAAGGTTTTWTATTTCTTTTTCAGAAATCGATGTGTGTCATTGACATTGAAGGAGGGAGGATCAAGTGTGCCGGTGGAATTGAATAAAACTGCAAAACAGCATGCAATAAGAAAAGTGTAAGCTAATTTGGATCGAAAATGGGAATGTTYCTTAAAGAAAAATAGAGATATACCTTTCCTTTCACTTGTAAGGGATATTCATCCACCTAACAATCAATGCTATCAGATATAACTCCATTCTCTTATTATTCTTGTCAAACTGCAATTAATATTAAAAAAAAACACATAATTAAAAGAACATAATCTATGTTAGAGATTAAAAGACAAGTAATCTTGTGAGATGGGTTACTAGCTAGTCYTGATGATACACTTTAATTTAGCTCCCAAAATTACCTTTTTATATTACCAATAATCATATACTTAAGAAGAACATTGAATTCAACAATTATGTAAAGAAAGTTTTTAAGTGTTAAAAGAGAGAGAGAGAGAGTGAAGGGATTCACCTGGAATGAAAATTTTATATTCGAGGATTAGTAGCTGCAGAAGGGAAGGTGCGGAGCGGAGTATGACCAAAATCAACACGAAGGAGCAACGTTCCGATCCTCCTCGCTGGCGGCTCTCTGCGCCGGCGGTGGCTGCTGACTTTCTTGCGGCAGCAAAAKTTGATGCGGTTGAAGATGGTGGTGGAGGTGATGATTTTGTTCTTGCTGTGGCTGCTGCTGTTGGATCTGGTACATGTTATTAACATAAGAACTACCTAACGCTAAAGATGGTGACATGGCTGCCTGAGCCGTCATGGGGCAGAACCCGCCCCCAGTCACCTGCCCAGACCCGCCAGGAGCATCAAATCCTCCATTAAACCTGACCAGATCAGCCGATGACTGCTGCTGTTGCGGTGGTTGTTGTTGCTGCTGCTGTTGCTCGTAGTTCCTTAACATATCCTGTTGTTCCCTAGAATTAGCAACAGCCACCAGTTGCTGTTGCTGTTGCTGCGCCTCAAGTATCTGCGGATGATGCTGCGAGTCTCGGAAATTTCCGGGTCCTGGCATGCCCATCATCGGCTGCATGTTGTACGGTAAAACCGGCACCGATGATGATGGCATGTTCGGGATTTGTGGGATAAACCCCGGATTCAAAATAGGCAACATCGCAGAAGGGCCAATGTAATTAGCCAATTCTAATTTCGCATTGTGTAAATCACTCTGGACTTGCTTTAACCGGTGCTGGAGRATTGAGATTAGTCCGACACACCCGTAAACCGGGTCCCTTAGCCGTGCCTCAGCCTCATAGGCCAACGAATTAACAGCATCCTCTCGYTGGGTAGTGTTTAGCTCGTTAAGGATTTTGGTTACATTGCTGGCTCCGAATACCTTGTGTACGTTGGCGAATTTCTGAGGCTGGTCCGGTGGGAAATATGGTGCAAAARCACATTCTTGCGTGCATTTAYGGCGTAAAAGCTTGCAASCTGCACAAGGCGAATTCGAGGAGGACATCTTCTCCTTCACCTTCAGAACTGCATACATTTTGTATACACAAGATTTCAATAAAATTTRGCTTTGTTCCTGAAAACTGAACAAATTWTGCTTATARAKWATTTACAGAACCAGATGAATTAATGAACATATGRTTTATCMRAGAGAGAAATAACTTCAAAAGGGTTTATAAATGATTMAAYATTGTCAWCATGATGACAATTATGGACATGTAAATTATAATTAGTACACAGAAATTTAAGATGTGTGTAAATGAATGAATAATTATAACATCGCATTCAGCGAAGGTTCATTTACCGATTHTAGAGAAGCAGGTGGTGRCAATTAAAGCTWTCTTCGTGTATCGAAATCACCAATTCTAAGTCAAATGACGGATTTCTTTATTAAAATTTGGCACAGTTGAATTTGTTAATAATGCGGTCATATCAGAAATGAAATTTGAAATTTGAAATTTGAAAAACGAAATGAAAGCTTTCTGTAAATGTAAACGAAATTTTTTTTTTGTTTTGATATATTACGCGTTTGAAGAACGGAATAGAATCAACTTGAAAAGCAAGAAACTGCTGGAAAACCGATGATCATTCCAGATCCAATTCTTCGAAAACATATAGAATAAAAAAAGGAAAGTAGATCAACAGAATCAAACAAATATCGAGAAAATTTAGAAACTGAATCAAATATGGAATTACAGTTATTCCATACCTACGTTTCGATGTCTCACAAAAACCTCGAAAGATCACTCTAATTTTTCTTTTCCTTTTCCAACACATAAACGCAACCGCCTGCAAAAACACACGAGAATAAAATCAATAAAATAAACACGATCATTGACATGAGAATGATCGTTTTCAATCAACGAGTCGCATCAATTCATGCTATGGCATATAATATATACATATA